TGTCAGCAAAAAATTTTGTAATAATAAAAAATTTGGTATCCATTGCATCATATAAGAATTTAGCTGTATTTATATCACGTTGTAATACTACTTGAATAGGTTCAATAATTTGGTGAAAATTATTAATTATATTAGACCATGATAACCATCATGTATCACATATATTAAGAATTGTTAGATCAGAAATTTTCATGTCTTCTTTAATTTTTTTTAATTCATACATTCGCTTATATGAATTAAAAAAATAAGAATAAATTCCTTTTACTATCATTTTGTAATGCGCAAAATATGGTATTTCATTTGCAGCTTTTTCTGAAGCTAAATGTAAATGATGTGCAATACAATGTGTTGAAGTAATAAAATTATTAATACTTTTTAATTGAGTTGCAACATCATTACGAATACCTAAAAAAATAATAGTAAAAAAATATATATTATCAATATTGTATAATATATAACAAATTTAATTATAATATTGATAATATAATTCTCCAAAAGTATACACTTATAATTACATTTCAATATATATATTTAGAGAATAATAAGAGAAAATATATTTATAAAGTCAAAAATATATTTGGTTCAGATTCCGAATATATATTTAGAGAGAATATATAATTATAAGGGTATACAAAGAGATCTAATTGATTTATATTTACCTGTCATAGTCACAGCTTCATCACTACCAAAATGTCTTAATTTTGCAATATCTAAACCTTTTTGGTTTATAAAAAGAGTTATTATATTCATAATTCCATCAGCTGATGCATCTGTTACTTGTGTTAACCCAAGAAAACAAAAAATAGGTTCCCCATTTACTAAATGTTTTGATACCAATGCAATAATTTTTTCAGAAATAATATTTGTATTACTTTCATCGATAAGTAAACTCCAACATGGAGATTTTTTAACCTTTGCAATAAACTTTCTTCAATAATAGCAAATATAGAAGAAAGTAATTCTCTTCCTGCAACTGCATTTTTATAAAGTGCATAATTAGTTGAAGAAGATGATGTTGTAAATTCGATTTGACTTTGAAGAGGAGGTGGTCAAAGAGT